GCGACAGTCAAATGAAATACAACTAAATATTATCCTCAACAGAATAAAGAATAACCCATCGAACGACAGTCTACTCAGCTTATTTTGAGTCGGTTTTACTGTTTCCTCGGATGTTATATTTATTCCCCAATAATTTGTTGTTGAACTATTGTATATTGCATATAGTGTTGCGTTAACAACCGGATTCGAATAAAGCCAATCGATTCCAAACAAATTTTCTTTCAAACTGCAATTATAATCGATTGTTTCCAGATCTAAATTCAATTCTTGTTGATACAAAAATTGAACTATAATCTGATCTGTACATGTTGTCGAATCAACTACAGCATTTTTCGTGTACGATTGAAAACTAGTAACATGCGTTAGACCTTTCATTTCGATCAATTTTGTTCGAATATGTTCTAATTGAAACAAAAGTTGAGTTTCCTGTGCACTATACATCGGTGTATTGTAATCTAAATCGCCATTCAACATCAGTACACCACCTTCACGTGACTGAAATATTTCTGGATTGACTTGAAAATTGCCCCAATAACGTGGATTTTTCGAATACAAAATATCTTGAACTACGGATGGTATAGAATAATTATTTTTTGATATTTGTGTTTCACGACAAAGTGGTATTGGACCAATAGGTGCGAAAGAAAATTCATTTGTGACATTAACATTGATGCAAAAATCATTGAAAAAACTCGGATTCGTTTTGACGTTTTCATCCAAAGTGAAGCCAACAAAATCGCTCCACACTGTTACAATACTTAAAACCATGCCATCAGTCGCATAGTTATCGGGCGGATCGACCAATTGTGGAGATAAGGATTGTTCTACCGATCTAATCAAATTTGGCAATGCATGAGATAAAACGCGTTGATCTTCAGCAGAACAACGATACACACGAGCAATGAGAATGGCAGCAATTGGCCGAGTAGTAATAAGTTCTATTCCTTGACTGGCAATAAGAGAAAATAACATCCAACTATTCAATCCCAAGTTAGTTGTACAGAGAGGATTAGTCATGTTTGTCAAAAAGAGCATTTGCAATGTTAATGTTACACCTATAATATCCTGATCAGTACCAGTGACAAGATTGAAGACTTTCAAACATTCAATATCATTTTGACATTTTGATAGATACATATAAAATCGATTGCTTATTGATTTGATTTGATTTTCAAATGAATTCCCCTTTTTTATTGACATGATCCCATCGAGAATTACTCCGTTGATTTGTTGTAATTGAGAATTGATCGATTGAATTGATAAATAGTATTGAATGATGGCTGTACCTATACTGGAAAAAAACATTATCGACAACGAAAGCGTGTCATCGCAGCCAGGCGATGGGAGTAAAAATCCAGAATTCTCATACGAATACGATTAGTGGCGTAGCTCCCGTGTGGTGGCACCGACGAGTATAGCCTGGCCCTCCCCGGTAAGTGGCTGTGGCCCCGGTGAAACGACATTATGCCCCCTTGTAGAGAATTTCTGACTACGTCACTACATATGATATTTTAACAAAGCCGAGCAAGATTAGAAAATCTTTAGTGCCATCCCCAGACATGGGCGAGTCCGAGTCCATTTCGAGTCCGTTAATCTTTTAGATTCTTTTTTGATGAGGGTGGTTTATATTTTAATTTGCTGAGCCTTGGATAGATATTTGACTTTTCGAAAATAAGGTTACGTTCCATGTCCGTCCCCCGAACAAAATTTTCAATTTCATGTGAAACAGTAGGCGTTGTTATTTCGCTTTTCATTTTTCTCTGCTCAACTGTGTTAAAAGTTGAATAGATCAGACTCGAAATACAAAAGCTCAAGTCCGAGTCCGAGCCGCCAAAAAATCTTTCAGTCCGGACTCGGGCTCGTCCATGTCTGGCCATCACTATGGGATTAAAATGATCGAATTACTTATGTTGAATGAGAAGCATTTTTTTATCTATCCTCTTATACCTTGACTTAGTCCAAAGATATAAGTTGATGTTGGACATATCGACTGCGATTGATTAATCGAATATTGAATTTGATATTGCAAATCTTGGGCAATATTTTGATTTGACATTGCATGAATTGTTCTCAATGATTCATTCACTGACGTTGGTACTGTTGTTTGAATTAATTCTTGTGCACAATCAATCCAAGTCGTCGCCGTACGACAATGAATGGATGGTTTACTTAGTCCCGCTCCTCTGTACTGAAATAGATACATAATTGGATTTGTTTGATGATATTTCTCATGGTAATGATTTGAAATAATTTGTTTCAACATTGATATTCCAAATGATTCCATTAAAAATTGAGAACCACCACCGCCACTGAGAAGCCAATAATTGATTATATGTTTCACCGTTGAAGTATTTCGTGGCGGCAAATTTGACAAAAACAAACGTTTCATGTGTAAATCTGTGAGTGGAATCGATTTTGTTGAATTATAGTACAGACCATCGAATGTATTTGGATTAAATTGATTCCATTCGAGTGGACTGGTCAAATACATGCATTCAGCTTGAATTATGACATTGTCTATGATCGTTTTATTGAATGATGCATCATTAAACGGACACGAATACCAAGCCAAAGTAACCGAACATAAGTTCAAAATGAAAAATAATCGTTCATACATTTGTGTCGATTGTTCGTTGTTCTTTCTCTATTCGCGTGCACACCTAGAGATAATAGATAAATTTTGTTTCTTCATCGATGTGAGAAAGAATCAGTCTATGTGCGTTGGGTATTTGAATGCGTCAAATATTTGTTCTTTGCAAGCCGCGGGACGAATATTACGACCGTGATTCACGATCGTTTTTTGCCTTTTTATAGCGCTCGTACGTTATCTTACAGGACGTCTTTGGGTCGTAAGCGGTTGAAAAATAGGTATTAGGGTGGCTCCATACGGGGATATTTGATCCGTAGTACGTTCGCTATCAAAACGGCGAAATACAGGATGTAGCAAAATTGTAGACCCTCTCACTTAACCTAGATCCCTCCTAAAGGGGCGTACGAGAATTTCCAGAAATAAAGCTTTTTCGAGATAACCAATTAATTATTTTTCAGTCTTATAGCGTATGGAATGCTGATTAAGGGTACCCTCCCTCATTTGGGGCATCCCGTAGAAATGCTGTAGAATAAAAACTAAAAGTCGCTAGGGCTTCGTATTTTCAGAACTGATTGGAAACTCAATGGAGTACTTTTTCGTTTTTGTTTCAAGTTTTCAGCAATTGTCGTTCACCAGTTCTTCAGAAACTCGGTTTTTCATTGTGTCCTGTTGCGACCCCCCTTAAATTTCATCCGATCGAGTTCAAAATTTTACCATAGATACTTAAGGTCATTCCGCAGGGGTAACGTTTTGGAATTATATTTTAGACTTTTCTTTACCGAGTTATAGGGTTTTCAAATTGAAAAACTTGAGTTTTCAGACGTTTTTTAGTATTTTTCCTATAACTTCACCAGGAAATGTCTCAAAAAAACTTCTCAAAAATTTCCGCTGCAGAATGACCTTAAGTATCTATGATAAAAGTTTGAACTCGATCGGATGAAATTTAAGGGGGGTCGTAATGGGGCACAACGAAAAATCGAGTTTTCTGAAGAACTGGTGAACGACAGTTGCTGAAAACTTGAAACAAAAACGAAAAAGTACTCCATTGAGTTTCCAATCAGTTCTGAAAATACGAAGCCCTAGCGACTTTTAGTTTTTATTTCACAGCATTTCTACGGGATGCCCCAAAAGAGGAGTGAGTCTACGGGATGATCCTTAACTGTTGGAGTACGTCTACCAGCTGACTTACTCTCGTTTCTTCTACCTTATTATTGCCATCCGATGGCAATCTAAATTAAAGAGGTGATACGGTTACATAAGGCATAAGCACCATACAAATAGGCCTGATGCATTTTTAGTGTCATAAAATTCCCTGAACTGTGTTAGGTGTAACACAGCTTCGTTATCCAATAAAGAGTCAATTTGTTGCTTAGTTAGAACACTAAATTTATTCTATTGTCAGTTTAAAGAAATTGAAGAAACATTGCATTCTATTTGCATTCTAATTTGACTATGAAGCACAGTGTTAATAAGCGGGCTGCCATAAACTATGAAATACTTACTTTGAAGAGCCTATCGAGGTAAGTTTGTTCATTATCCAGATGATTTTTTAGTATGTTCTGTCGAAAAGGCAGATGAGTTGTTAACTTTTTGAGTTGTGACGTGTTTATCAGGTACGACAGCAAATTTTAATACGTATATACATACGCACACGTATATATATATATATATATATATATGATATTAGTACAGATTATTCTTTCACCTCTGTTGTGAAAGACTTATTGTATTCCGTTTTACCAAATAAAAATGACCCATATCACCTCAAGATATACTTTGTTATTCTTTGCCAAAGGTAAATACATCTTCGTATTATATTGTTGTCTCACGCCCTCCTTTTACTTCTTTCTCACATAGATAAGCATACGCGCGAGTTATATAGAAGCTCACTTCGGATAAACAAGAACAAAAGTGGAATGATGATATGAGAGACATGGAGGTATCATGCAATGTCATAATGAGCCGATTAATGACTGTATAATCCATGGGTATAGACATATTAGGTGACAACATTGAGTGTCAATTTTTCTTGATCGAACCTTGTTTCACTCCATCCTACTACCATATGAAAATATCACAACGAAACTATGAACCATCTCTGCAACAAACTAATGCCATTTCTAGTTTATTATAGTTGTAAATATGAGAAAGAAAGTTATGTACGGATGTGAAACTTTCTTTCGGTATAAGAATCTTAATTTCTACGCATATTCATTGTCCAACGCCCCCGTACGTCGACCCAAAAACCGACCGACAAAGAAGATAAGCTGAATCTGCTAGTCCTACTCTTGCTTTTCAGCACAATAGTACGTTACAAAAAGATTTTCTTTCAAATCATCAACAATATATAACATTTAAGCAACTGAAGAACATACTACTTCAACTGTTTCGAGATTTTCTATCACGAAAAATGTCTACTTCGATACCGGATGAAAGTTCAACCTCGGAAGACAACGAAAGTAATCAAATGATTGATCATATTGATGAATCGTCTGATGAAGATAATGATAGTTCACCTCGAAAAAGAAAGAAACTAGAAGAAATCAAATGGAAACGTCAAAAGTTCAATTCAGTTGACCTTCCTGAAAGCCATCTGAACCCAATCTTATATTTTGCCAATCCATCGAGAAAAACGCCACGTATTGTTTTCGATTATTTTGTAGACGGTACATAGATTCGATGAAATTCTATCGATTCTTCATTCCAATAATAATGAAGAAGAACCAACAAAAGCTAATAATAATTATGACAAACTCTTCAAAATCCGACCACTTTAACAGAAAGTTTCAGTCAGCAGCAATACCAGAAGAAATCTGTAGTGTCGATGAACAAATCATTCCTCACAAAGGATTTAGCAGTTTGAAAAGGTATAATTCCTCGAAACCTCATAAATGGGGTTACAAAATGTATGCACGTGCGGGAAAGTCAAGCTATTTGTATCATTCGAAGTCGAAGGTGACAGTCAATTGATAGTTATTGATTCGAATATTGGATCAGCTGGTAATATTGTGATTCGACTCACGCAAAATTTACCTCCAAACGCATTTATTGCTTATGATAATTATTTTGCAACTATTAGGTTAATTAAATTTCTAAATACTAAACAATATCATGTTGTATCCACAATGAGATCAAATCGTTTAAATTCCTCTTTATTAAAATCTGATAAACAGCTGAAGCAAGAAGGGAGAGGTTCATTCGATTCTCTGACTACTGATAATGGTCATATAGTAGTTACAAAATGGTTTGACACTAAAGCAGTTTACATACTCTCAAACTGTTTTGGTCCGACACCTGTCGGTGAATCCAAAAGGTTCGATCGAAAAAGTAACACTCATATAACAATATCACGACCATATTCAATAAATGGATACAATCAATGCATGGGTGGTGTTGACTCATTTGATATGCTCATGAGTTTATATCGAATTCAATTGAAAGGAAACAAGTGGTATCGAAAATTCTTTTACAATTTCTTGGATTCTTCTATCATCAATTCGTGGCTCATTTACACACAAATAACGTCTTCTGAAGTTGATCTTTTGAATTTCAAGTTGAGTTTAGCTCAAGAATTGGTTATATCCCTTGTCGATATCCGGTTACAATCATTTGCTACGACTGATATTTCAAGATATGATCAAATCGGACATTTCCCTAGTTG